TGCACAGACATTTCTTCCCTAGCACCACACTTAAATAATTTGGTTCATTATTTCCCAAGTGTGGATAGGATGCTGGTTTTGATTTAGTTTTCCCACTGTAGTTTTATTGAAAGACTTGACGTTTTTCATTTCTTTTTAAAAATTGTTATTGATACACTGCCCCTCTTATTTAGAGGTTTCTGATCCTTTATTTAAGGAACTCCAGAGATTAAATTGAGGTAGATTAGTAGTCCACTGGGGAAGGAACATTATTATTCCTGATGAGTATGGATTATAAAATAGTCTGAATTAAATACTTTAAAGGCATTGTCATTATTTTCTAGCTCCCATAATTTAACATTTTCCAACAAGTAATGTAAAGCAATAAATAAATCTCAACAGTTTACCAGCTTAGGAAACTAGATTGTGAATATATAGTTCTTAAAGTTCCGTATTTTAAAAAACTATTGCCAGTTCATTACATTTTATAAAGATATCTGAAATCTCCCTACTAAGTCGGTAAGGGAGGTGTGATTTTTATAGGCAGTGATGACTTAGGGTAGTATTTTATAGGTATCACCTTAGCTTTTATTTGACTTTCTCTCATAGCTGGTGTATGAATTCTTCTTGAGATTTTTGGAGAGCCCTGATTTCCAGCCTAGCATTGCAAAGCGATACATTGATCAGAAATTTGTACAACAGGTAAGGAACTTTCAAAACTTAAATGGTTTATTTCAATTTGACAGCACTTAATCTTGCTAGACAATTAGGATAAAAGTGAAGTAGCTCTGAGAATATAAGAGTATTTTTATCAAGGGTGAACTTCTAATAAAGTCTATCAAATTATCCTATCTTATCTTAAATTCTAAGACCAGAAAAGCAAGCCTTTCTGTAGTATGAAAAAATCTGATAGGACCATTCAGTCTAAGGGCAGAACTTTTTTTTAAAATTTTTAAGTCTTTGAACTTTATATATTTTAAGGGTTATGACTTTGAAATGACAGAGGGGAAAAAAGGGAAATGGAATCATTGTGAGGAATTTGGACTTTAGGCTTCTTTCCTGTCATAAAGTATCAATTACCATTCCCTTTTCCTTTCCTCTTCCCACCTTAGGCATCCTCCTATCCACCCAATTCCTAAACCACTGATAAAATGGGATCATTGAGAAGAAAAGGAGGTAGAGTTAAACATATGTGATACCTTCTTTCTTTTTATAAACTGGCTATTAGCTGTTGTTTTTGGAACCTACATATTCACAATTTCTAAGAATGTGGTCATTTTAATTTTTATTTTCAAAATATTTTCAACAATTTAGAGGCCTCTTTTTAACTATATGGAATTGGCTGGCCCTAAACAAAATTGTAAAGTAGACCAAAACTTTCTAGGTCCATTTTCTTTTTGAAATACTTAATCAGTATTTAAGGCCTCCTTAGGAATTCGATGCTGAGGCCAGGATTAAAATCACTGAAGGACCTTTTCTACCCTTCAGACCACCTTTGTGTGTCCCCTATGATAAAGATTCTACAAATGTGAGTTCCATATATTTAGAGCTCATTTTTGGTCATTTGTAACTACTCCCAACCTCACATAAAGTATTCTGACTAGTTGCTGTGAAGTACTGATAAATGAAGAACATTGTCAGCCCAAAATATTCCCTTCAGCCATTCAAGTAGCTTTTCATAAACTATGAATATTAGGTGTGTATTAACAGTAAAATGTACATTTTCAATCCTGCGTAAAAATCAGATTAAATGGAGTTGTGTTATTTTGGTAATTGCAAATGGATGCATATTTATTTCCTTCTGTAGTTCTCGTATGGAATATATTAGGGAACTCTAGTAATGCCGTATTAAATTGTATTTACGACAATAGCAAGTCGAGGGGAACAACAGTTGGCCTTGATGCTTCCTCCGTCTGGAGTTTGAGGTATTTAAGCTGTTGTATTACTTTGTGGGTTTCAGGGATGCAGGAAAAAAACTGGTAGGGTGGAACCCTTTTTGTACCTTCTCCTTTGAAATGCCCAAATTATCTGAGAAGCCAAGACCCAATAATTTGTTTTTAGCAGTTTATATGACTGTTCTTTTACAGATCACTTCTTTGAGGTATTCTTAGGTGTTGCTTTAATAAATAGTATGTATGAGAATTCTCAGCTTTTGTATTTTGAAATGAGTTGGTAGTTGCTAAGTTAGAAGAATTAGAACAGAAGAAAAAGTTAAATTTGGATGTTCATTATTTCAACAGAAGAAAACAATTGCACAGTTCCAATTTATGTTCAGATCAGGGAATTTCAGAAGAAAGAAAGAAACTAAGATTTATTGGGTGCTTTTTATGTGCTGGCCACCATCCTTATGTGCTTTTTATATAAAGAGCTAGACCATGTTCAATTTTATAGATCAATTCTCTGCACAAAGAGGATTTGAACTAGGCTCTCTGACCGTGATAGTACATTCACTTAAAAAAAAGAATAATTGGTTTCAACTTTCCTCATTTTATCAATGAAGAAACATAGGCTCAGAGGTTATGAGTTACCCTTAAAAGCATTTAGATATTAGTATCAGAGGCAGAATAAGAAATATAGTTTCCTGATTACTAGTTTTGTGTGTGTTTCATTACATGAATAGCATATTTCTAAATAGATTATTTATTTATAGTATTTGAAAATAGATTTGAAACTTAGCTAACAACTACTCTCTAATATTTTCCTCTGAAAATCAACTTGCATTAAGTTGTATTTGTTCTTGAATTAGACATGATGACCTTAACAGTTAAGGGCCCCTTTTATTAATCTGAAAGCATGTCTTCCAAGGAAACCCATCATTAGAAATTTGAATTGGAATGTCTTGAGTAGGGTAGCCATTTTTAATTAGAATAACCTGAACTGAATTTATTAGGTATAGTAGCATAAATTCTCATACTCCATAGATTTTTTTTTCTTCTCCTGGAACCTCATGCAGTACCTTAACAAGTCACTTGTTTTAGGGGTATATAAATGTGACTTAAATGATCCACTCTGGTTTGAGATGTACATGTAAGCAACTATATATAATTCAAAACAAAATGGAATAAGAACTTCTGATGAGGTTCAGAGCTTGCCATCTTTAGTGTAATTATCAGTACGAAAGCTCAGAACATAAAATTCCTTGACAACTTCATAGATATTTATAGTCTATAAAGAGAAATTTTATATTTTTTCCTAAGAAAATTCAATGTTTCATTTAAAATACAGTATTACTTTTTTTCGCACAAGAAATTAAGTGTCTTTACCATTTTAAATTGGAAATTTGAGCTTTTTCCAAGGTCTCTAAGGCTTTGCTGCAGAGTTGTGTAGAGGTGTAGAAGAGTGCTGACTGGGTCCATTTGAACTGGTTTAAAATTTTTCAGCCATTTGTTAAGCTGACTTTATATAAAAATCTATGGCCTCATTTTTTTTTTTTTTTTTTTTTT